TACAATTAGGGGTGGATTATTTTTCAAGGTCTACAATTAGGCGTGGATTATTTTTTAAAGGCCTACAATTAGGCGTGGATTATTTTTCAAGGCCTACAATTAGGCGTGGATTATTTTTCAGCAATTAAGCATGGATTTTATAAAAAAAATATTTTTCCAGGGCGGGGGTTTTTAAAAATATTTTTCTTGACCTACAATTAGACGTAGTTTTTTTAATATTTTTTTCAATGCTTAGAACTAGGCGTAGGTTTTTAAATATTGTTTCAAAGCCTATAACTAGGCGTTTTTTAATAAAATGTCAAAGCCTACAATTTGGCGTAGATTTTTTCTCAAGGACGGAATTTTTAAATGAAATGAAATCCAGGTCTGCTATTATACGTATTTATTAAAAAAAAAACATTCCAAAGGCCTATCGACATGCATACAATTAATCTGGAATTTTTAGCTTTGTTGAAATTGTTTCAGATTTCGATACAGCTTCGTCCGATTTCATGTAAATAGTGCACTAAAGATCCTCCATGTTTTTATACCCTTCACAACTACACTGTGGTACAGGGTATTATGTCTTTGTGCATATGTTTGTAACAGGCAAAAGGAAACTAGATCGACACATGGTTCCTTTTGAGAATATGCATAGAATCACTTTCTGAGTCGATTTATGCATGTCCGTCCGTCCGACTATCCTTCTGTCTGTCCATATTAAATTGTAAACAAAGTACAGGTCGCATTTATGATCCGAATTTTATGAAAGTTCGCATAGGGCAATTATTTGACCCAAGGACGAACCCTATTGAAATTGGGAAAAATCCGTTCAGAATTAGATATAGCTCCCATATATATTTTCGTCCGATTTAAGGTAAATGGTGCACCAAAGTACCTATATATTCTTCGATTTGCACGAAATTTGGCATTGCGTACTGAATTGAGTCTAGAATGATGTGTGCAAACTTTCGTGAAAATCGGTCCATATTTAGATATAGCTCCCATATATATTTTCGTCCGATTTTATGTAAATGGTGCACCAAAGACCCTAAATATTCTTCGATTTGCAAGAAATTTTGCATAGCGTACTGACATGAGTCTAGAATGATGTATGTAAAATTTCTTGAAAATCGGTTAAGGTTTAGATATAGTTGCCATATATATATATATATATATATATATTCCTCCGATTTTAGATAAATGGTGCACCAAAGTCCCTATATACCCTTCGATTTGCACGAAATTCGGCATAGCGTACTGAAATGAGTCTAGAATGATGTGCGCAAAGTTTGGTTAAAATCGGTTCAGACTTCGATATAGCTCCCATATATATTTTCGTTCGATTTTATGTAAATGGTGCACCGAAGACCCTATATATTCTTCGATTTGCACAAAATTTGGCATAGCGTACTGAATTGAGTGTAGAATGATGTGTGCTGAGTTTCGTGAAAATCGGTTCAGATTTAGATATAGCTCCCATATATATTTTCGTCCGATTTAATGTAAATGGTGCATCGAAGTCCATATATATCTTTCGATTTGCACGAAATTTGGCACAGCGTAATGAATTAAGTCTGGAATGATGTGTGTTAAGTTTCGTGAAAATCGGTTCAGATTTAGATATAGCTCCCATATATATTTTAGTCCGATTTAATGTAAATGGTGCACCAAAGACCCTATATATTCTTCGATTTGCTCGAAATTTGCCATAGTGTACTGCATTGAGTCTAGAATGATGTGCGCAAAGTTTCGTGGTAATCGGTTCAAATTTAGATATAGGTCCCATAAATTTGTTTCGTCCGATTTTATGTAAATGGTGCATCGAAGTCCATATATATATCTTTAGATTTGCACGAAATTTGGATTTATAAGTAAATGAAGAAATCAAAATGTGGCTGTATGCACAAAACATACTGAAATAAGTGTGACCTAACATGCGACAAGTTTCGATGAAATCTGTTTAGATTTCGATATTTTGCTTTAAATTTATTTTTATAATTTTGTCCCATTATAAGAAACAACTCTATATCTGACCAACATTTAGTATTGGTTGCAGAATGACATGTTTAATTTCATGTTAATGGTCCTTCAAAAATGAGTACTATTATCATGAAATTAAACATGTCATTCTGTGGAATATACCCAAAGTGGTGAAGGGTATCATATAGTCGGCCCCATCCGACTTTACTGCTTTCCTTACTGGTTTTAATTTTATTTTCTAGGCTCACAATTAGGCATGAATTTTTTAAAAATATTTTTTTGTAATCTATAATTGCGATTTTTTATTGGATTTTTTAAAATTATTTTTAAGACCTAAAATAGTGCACTAAAGACCCTCCACGTTTTTCTGATTGATTTGAAATTTTTGGAAACACATCTGTTTTTAATATGAAAATATTAAAAAAAATATTTTGGGCTCAAAGTCTAATCACTTGACTAATACACCAGTTAATCCACCACAAAATTCCAATCTATTCACTAAAAAAAAAAACAGTATAAAAAATAAAACAAATATCATATATATATATATATATATATACATATATATATATATATATATATAGACATATATATATATATATATATTCAACAGTTGGTTTCATCTTTAAAAACCAAAAAAAAAGAAAAACATAAATTGGTTGAATCATGTGACACTGTCCGAAACACACACAAAAAATATCAACAACTTAATGGTTCCGAATTGTCTCATAAAACATTTGTTAATTATGTGAGACATCGACAACAACAACAACCACAAAATAAATAAATATGTTTATAATTAAAAAATAATAATAATAATGAAAAGTGTGCGAATGGAATTTAAAAGAACAAATATTTTTTTTATATATAAAAATCATTGGATGAACTTCGACCATACCGAACTGTACATGAAATCGGAAATCAGTTTAAACCAGTAAGGAAAGTAGTAAAGTCGGACAGGGCCGACTATATGATACCCTTCACCACTTTGGGTATATTCAACAGATGGAATCCTAACAGACGTCTCATTTTTAAAAGACCAGTAAAATGAAATTGGATCCATAAACATGTCATTCTGCAACCGATACTTAAATTTTTCATTTGGTCAGATATAGAAGCTATATCTAAATCTGAACGGATTTTCACGAAAATTACCACACATCATTCTAGACCTAATTCATTACGCTGTGCAAAATTTCGTGCAAATCGAAAGATATTAAGGGATTTTGGTACACCATTTACCTTAAATCGGACGAAAATATATATGAGAGCTATATCTAAATCTGAACCGATTTTCACGAAACTTAGCACACATCTTTCTAGACTTAATTCAGTACGTTATGCCAAATTTCGTGCAAATCGAAAGATAGGTAGGGACCTTGGTGTACCATTTACCTTAAATCGGACGAAAATATATATGGGAGATATATCTAAATCTGAACCGATTTCCACGAAACTTAGAACACATCATTCTAGAGCTAATTCATTACGCTGTGCCAAATTTCGTGCAAATCGAAAGATATATAGGGACTTTGGTGCACCATTTACATAAAATCGGACGAAAATATATATGAGAGCTATATCTAAATCTGAACCGATTTTCACGAAACTTAGAACACATCAAACTAGGCTTAATCCAGTACGTTATGCCAAATTTCGTGCAAATCGAAAGATAGTTAGGGACCTTGGTGTACCATTTACCTTAAATCGGACGAAAATATATATGGGAGATATATCTAAATCTGAACCGATTTCCACGAAACTTAGAACACATCATTTTTCCCCAATTGCATTCGCTATGCAAAATTTTGATCAAACGGACAAATATTGGGAGTTTGGTGTATCATTCACAAAAAATCAGACGTGACTATATATGGGAGCTATATCTAAATCTGAACCGATTTTTACAAAACTTCGCAGACATCAATCTGAACCTAATTCAGTACTCTGTGCAAAATGTTGTCCCAATCGGACAAATATAGGGAGTTTGGTGCATCATTCACCTAAAATCGGACGAAACTATTTATGGGAGCTATATCTAAATCTGAACCGATTTTCTCCAATTTCAATAGGGTTCGTGAAGTGAACTGTGCCAAATTTCATCCAAATCGGATCATAAATGCGACCTGTACTTAGTTCACAAAAATACATGGACGGACAGACGGACATGCGTAAATCGACTCAGAAAGTGATTCTATGCATGTTCTCAAAAGGAAGCACGTGTCTATCTCGTTTCCTTTATTTTTAAAATCCCCGCCAAATTGTAGGCATTGAAAATATTTTTTTTTTAAATCCACACCTAATTGAAGGCTTTGAAAAAATAATTTATAAAAATCCACGCATAATTGTAGGCTTTGAAAAACTAATTTTAAAAATCCACGCCTTGTGGTGTGTCATCAAAATAATTTTAAAAAATCCACGCCTAATTGTAGGCTTTGAAAAAATAATTTATAAAAATCCACGCCTAATTGTAGGCTTTGAAAAAATAATTTATAAAAATCCACGCCTAATTGTAGGCTTTGAAAAAATAATTTATAAAAATCCACGCCTAATTGTAGGCTTTGAAAAAAATAATTTATAAAAATCCACGCCTAATTGTAGGCTTTGAAAAAATAATTTTAAAAATCCACGCCTAATTGTAGGCTTTGAAAAAATAATTTTAAAAAAATAATTTAAAAAATCCACGCCTAATTGTAGGTTTTGAAAAAATAATTTTAAAAATCCACGCCTAATTGTAGGCTTTGAAAAAATAATTTTAAAAATCCACGCCTAATTGTAGGCTTTGAAAAAATAATTTATAAAAATCCACGCCTAATTGTAGGCTTTGAAAAAATAATTTTAAAAATCCACGCCTAATTGTAGGTTTTGAAAAAATAATTTATAAAAATCCACGCCTAATTGTAGGCCTTGAAATTTTTACTTTAAAAATTCCACGCCTAATTGTAGGCTTTGTAAAAAATAGTCAAATTTTTTTTTACTCCATATTCGTTTAATATAATTAATTTATTCCTCTCTTCTTCTTCTTCTTCTCTTTTCAGTTGAAACAAAAACAAGAATTACAAAAACAAATGTTACTTCACACATTTCAAGAAAAATCCAAGCAATTGGAACTGCAGCATAAATTACAGTTGGAACATAAATTTCATGTAAGTTTTCGGAAATATTTGCAAAATGATTTAAAATTTATTTAAATTTCAAAATATTTTGTAAATACCAAAAAAAAGCCTTATTCGAATTCATTTGATTATGAATTTTACCTTAAAATTGTTTAATTAATTTTTTCAAAACCCCCTTAAAAGTGCAACCAAAAATTTGTTTTTCTTCTTCTTCTTTTTTTTCCATAATTAATTTAGTTTGTGCATTCACATGGCACGTTCCAGGAATTGCAAGAACAAAGAATTATTACAGCCGCCGTGGAGGAACAACAGCAACGTGAACGACGGGAGCGGGAGCAGCGTGAGCGGGAGGCTGCCGCCATGGTTAAACGCAAAGAGAATAGTGCAAATGCCAGTCCCGAGGTTAAGCAAATTTTAAATGTAAGTAAATCGAACAAACACAGTTTACGGAATTTATAATTAATATTGAAATTCATTTACTCCTCCTCCTCCGCCTCTAGTGTTTCATATTGAATCGCAAACAGGCAGCATCCTCACCAAATGGCATGCAGACCACCTCACCCTATCGCAACAGGTTTGAATTGAAATTTTGTCCTTTAGAAAAATATATTAATTCCATTTTTCCCCCTCCCCCCTTACAGAAGTGTTGTCAAAAGTTCATCGGGTGAATCGCTGCCAGCCGGTGCCGTTACCAGTTCACATCCCTATAAAATTCCACAGCCTCCACCATCATCGTTACTCAAATATGAAACAGATTTCCCACTGAGGAAAACGGGTAAGAACCAAATTGTTGTTGTTTTTGTTATTATTATTTTTAGTTTTTATTTTATTTTTTTTGCCTTGAGTTGTTATTGTATTGTTGTTATAATATTTTTTTTTTTATTTATAATGAAATGTCAATTAAATACTCGTTTGTAAATTCATTACGAAATTACTGTTGACTTCCCTTATGTCAATTCTAATCTTGCATGTCCTTGCGAGCTTTTATGGCAAATATATTTTAGCTAATGCTAATTGTTTTCTATGGAAAAATAGCTTATTAACATTTTTTGCTATAAAAAAGACATTAAACACAGATTCCTTGGTCATATTTCCAAGGGTATGCAAATCTGGAAGTAAGTTTGATTTGCGAACAAAAAATATTTGAGGAGCTATTGTTATTGCTCTTTTAACAATTTAATATTAGTCCTTAAACTGTACACCCTTCATTCTGAGAAATAAAAAAAGAAGGAAAAAAAAGAAAAAAATCATTAAATTCGTCCGAATAAAACCTTTTAATACCCTCTATCACTGGGAAGTCTTGATAATGAAGATTCGTTTGGTAAATATAATTAGGATAGCAGTTATCTAACCGATTAACAGTTCAAAGTGTCAAGTTCACCCTATCCCCTCCTACATTCCATTCCCAGAATTTTGAATTTATAAAAAATTTATATATTGGGCCTTCGTGGGGGAGGTACTAAAAGAAATGCGCCTATAAGTCTCAATTTCCAATAATACACAGGCTTGATAAAAATATAAGGTTGTGCAAAGTAGACTTGAAATCGTATAGTCCGTCCGTGTGATATTATAAAATTACTGTTCAGTCCAAAATAGAGTGGGAGAGGTACAAAAAAGAATGGGACGGGCGGGTCCCCTTTTCGGAAAAAATCTCGGTAAGGTAAACATAGTACGTCTGCGTGATATTATAAAATTAATGTTCAGTTAAAATTTCACTAATTTGTGGGAGAGGTACAAAAAGGAGGGCACCGACGGGTCCCATTTTCGTATAAAATCTAGATAAGGTAAACATATTACGATGTGCACAGTTTCGATGAAATTGGATATTCCGTTTGTTTCATACGAAATGTACAATTTAACAAAATGTTAATCATTTGTGTGTGTGTGGGGGGTACCCTGGCTTGTGACAGAACATTCGTTCCATAAGCCGAGCTTAGAAAAGATTTCCAGGCGCGTCGGTCTTTTGTGCAGTTTTCCAATTTGAAAGACCATTTTCGGCAATGTTGTCTTCGACTTGATCTTTCCAACGTATTATTGGCCTTCCCCTTCTGCGTGAACCATCAGCTGGTTTGCTTTTATATACCTTTTGGGCTGGGGCATCTTCATCCATTCTCACAACATGACCTAGCCAACGTAGTCGCTTTGCAGCTCAATACGTCTAACAATGTCGATGTCCGAGAATGGCTGGTACAACTCATAGTTCATTCGACGTCGATATTCACCGTCAACGCAGATCGGCCCATAGATCTTTCGGAGAATTTTTCTCTCAAACACGCCAAGAGCTGCCTCATCTGCTTTGTAAGTACCCATGCTTCAGATCCATATAACAGCACGGGTAGTATCAGCGTCTTGTAGAGTGTTAGTTTGGTCTGGCGGGAGGTGACCTTGCTTCTGAGTTGTTTGCTTAGACCTTAGGCGGTACCAAGGTATATAAAATCTATGACTACCTCGAAGCTGTAATTCTCAAGTTCCACAGTTGGTCCGAGTCTGCTTGACGTCTTGCACGTTGATACCATCAGCTTGGTCTTCTCGCTGTTTCAAAGGTGGCTGTTACCGCTCTCAATGTTCGACCCATTATGTCGATGTCATCGGCGTAGGCAGTAACATGTGTTGTTTAGTGTACAGAGTGCCATTTCTGTTCATTTTTGCCTCTCGTATGACCTTTTCCAGCAGGATGTTAAAAAGGTCACACGACAAACTTTCACCTTGTCTGAATCCTCGTTCGATATTAAAGGGCTCTGAGAGGTCCTTTCCGACTTTTACTGCTGATCTTATGCCTTTATACACCTCTGAACGGATAGGGCTGTCGAATGCGGTTTTCTAGTCGACGAATAGGTGGAATGTGTCAATGTGTTTTTCGTGGGTTTTTTTTTCCAGGATTTGGCGCAGAGTGAAAATCTGGTCAATGGTGGATTTGCCAGGTCTGAAGCCGCATTGGTATGGTCCAATAATGTCATTGACCATTGTTTTCAGTCGTTCACACAGTACGCTGTATAGTACTTTATATGCGATGGGAAGAAGGCTAATTCCTCTATAGTTGGCACATATCGTCTTGTCTCCTTTGTTGTGCACGGGACACAGGATGCTGAGGTTCCAATCATTGTTTGTGCATTCTTCTAGCCAACATGCATCTGACCACCCCTTTTGAATAGATGACTATAGCCGATCGGTACCTACTGCTTTATTTTCGATTAATTGTTTACTTTGACCTCATCTCGGCTAGGTTTTATACACTTTATACCGTCATCTCTTATTGGTTCTGGGGTATCTTCTTCGCCGTTACTATTTAATACCCGAAGCTTTGCAAAGTGCTCCTTCCCTACAGATCTCCAACACGTTATCTGTATCTGTCCGCTGGATTTCTTCTTCATCCTTACAGGTGAATGTGCCTGCACCAAAGCCTTCGGTTTAGTGTTTTACTCGTTGGTAAAATTTCCGGACTTCAATCTGACTCCTGTACATGTCGATTTGCTCACGTTTTTCTTGTTTTTCTTCTTTCTTCAGACATAACTATAATTTTTATCATTGGTATCGATCGAGGACATACATAACTATAATTGGTATCAATTTAAAGGTCAACCATTCCTTCTTTTAGGGGTATTTCCCATATAACCCCCCTTCTTATATTAAAATAGATGATTAGTTCCGTGTGTAGGGGTTGTCCCCATATAGGTCTATTCTAGTCGTTACTCGAAATAGTCAGTTTTACCCTACAAATTATGGAATTCTAAGACGATCGGTTGTAATCGGTCCGCTTTCTAAGGGAATCGTGGTAAAAAAATCGAACCTGACGATAATGAAATATATCTGCCAGCATTTAGGCATCTCCTCCCGAAGGAAAGAATTGCGACACAAAACAAAAATATTGAGTTCGAAATTGACATATGTCGGTCATTAATTAGGCATAGCCCTCATATAATCATAACCCCAGATATTCCTACACTAGGTAATCTAACTTTGTAATCTAAATTGCAGTAGTTTAAGGATTGTATATTCTACCATGCGTTATTAGTAACAGTCCACGCTTTGGAGTTTTCATTAAAAATTTCTGAAATTTGTATGAAACAGTAGAATTAGTAGAAATATCGGTATAAGTTCACTTATTGGTATGTTTCCTATATGTTCATTTCAAGTATCTGTCAGTAACCTGTGGTAGAGGGTATTCAAAGCCCGGCCAACCTTAACGCTTTTTCACTTGTTTATTTTTGATTTGGTATTAAATCTTCAGTACCAAAAAATTTTCATATTGGTATTATTTTATTCATAGCCCCCAATATAAGGGTACCTTCTAATTTTCGGATTTTGAACACAATTTCCAACGTAACAATGTAACAAATTTTGATATAATCGATTTCTGAATATGTCACAAAATCTCACTTCCAACAGCGCCTCATATAAACGTAACACCAATTTTCAATATTTTGAGATTTTAGGAAAATGTTTTTCTCATCGGAAGTTTTACCCAAACTATTTCTAAAGTCATTGTCAAAACTAAGCACGATCAATTTATTTATTTTTTTTTTTTAATTTACTATCATTCGAATTTACTATCATAATAATTTTGTGAAGTTCTTGAATATTTTCGTCGCTTAACAATTTCTTGGGGCATACACGGCGGCGGTCAGCAATCTGACCTGACTAATGCCCATATATATCCATATGCCAATGGTCTTTCAATTGACATGTTTTTCTATCTGGAATTTAAATTCCATAATAGCACTTTGAACACAATATAGGATTTAAAAACGATTTTTTCTTAACTCACATAAGGCAGATCAACTTATATAGTAATTTTAAATTTTTTATTACAAGACTGTATATATATATATATATAATTAAATTTTCATATTTAAAATGTTAATAATTATTTATAAATATGTATGTATATTTATTTCAAATTATATTTTTACACTTCTTAATTCTGTTTCAATTGTTTATAACTATATTTTTATTATTATTAAAAATAATTATTTAATTATTGAATACTGTATATGTTAACAAAAACAAATACTTAATACCATCCTCCCCTAAACTTCACTACTATACTACAAAATGCAGCATCCGAACCAAATCTGTTAAAAATGCGTCTAAAACAGAGCGTGATTGAACGTAAGGCCCGTGTAAGTGGACCAGCCGGATTGCGCCGGCATGAACGTCTATTGCAGGCCGCTCAGCGGAGACAGCAAAAACAACAACAAAATTCAACCATAACAAGTAAGTACCCAAAACAAAAAAAAAACTATTAAATTATTCATCAAATGACAGACGGACAGTGAGTGAGGGAGAGTTAATACAATTTAATTATGAGTTTTCCAAAAATTTCTCTTAAGGTTTGCTATAAAATTTCCTTTTCAATTATGTTTTTAAATTAATTTAATTTGAATTTATGTTTATTTTATGAAATTTAATTGTTGTTGTTTTTTATTAAATGTGCTATGGCTTTGCTAAATATTTTTTAATTTTTTTTTAAATATTATTTTTGAATGTTGTTTTAATTTATTGTTTCTATTTTTTGTATTAACTCTGACAATACTAATCGCCAAGATATATATCCATTTCTTTTATAAGTAAATTGATAAATTAGGCAAAGCGACGGGTTGAGGTTATGTACTGTCAAAAGTAAATGACCCCAATTGGTCGGTTATCGATTATGAAGTATATGATCTTTATTGATCATATACTATAAAGCATATGGTCCCGTAGACTAATCTATTTCATATATGAAATAGATTATTTCATATATGAAATAGATTAGCGTATTGATCAACTACTATATAGTGTAGAGGTCACATTGGTCATCCACTATAAAGTAAAGGACCCAATTAGTCATCTACTATAAATTAAAAGATCCCCATTGGTCATCTATTTTCTCTACTCCACAATAATGGACCAATGTCTGTATATGACATAACCTCATTATTTTATTGAGTAGATGACCACCTCCATGTACTATATAGTAGATGAGCCCATTACCTATCTGCTATAAGCAAAATGATCCCATTGGTAATCTACAATAATGTTATTGAACCCACTGATAATCCCCTATGAACAATAAGACCTATGGAGTAGATGGCCCCATTGGTTACTTCCCACACATTAGGTAACTCCATTAGCCCTTGTTTCTAAACTATGGATTATATGACCCTATTGTTAATCTAACCCATAGGTCATCTACTATAATTCACATATATTCATTATAAACCCCCATATAGATGATGACCATTGGTCATTAACCATGGAGTACATGGGCCCTATTGGTTACTTACTACAATGTATATGACTCCATTATGACTCCCTTTTTCCTAAACTAATGATTATATTGTTAATCTGATCCATAGATCATCTACTATAATGCAGATCTATTCATTGAACATCTGTTATATGCTAGATGGTCCCATTGAACATCTACCAAAAATTCCATTTATCATCTTCTTTCCTAGATAAAATATGACCATCTTAGTTACTATTCAGACACTTCCCCCACCCATCCTTTTCCGTCCACAATTGATACCCTCATTTACCACCCATTTCGAAAAAAACATCAAACCTCTTTCTAAATTTTTTTCTCTTTCTTTATTTCCCCATTTTCTTAGATTGCAACAGCACACCCGATTCCGGTCCAAATTCCCCACCATCATCGTGCATGTCCTCAGCATCGGCGGGCAGTATTGTTGGCGGCCATAATCGTGGTTCACCGACCAGTGCACCCATACAGGAAGAGAACGAAGACGGCGGCAGTCATCATTATCATTCGGGTCAACGAAGCAGCATCAACGATTTGTCCCTCTTCAGTTCACCATCGATGCCGAACATCTCATTGGGACGACCACATTTACCGAATGCCCATCACAATTCGGCTGCTGCAAATTATGCAATGTTGGCTGCGCTGCGGCATCAACATGCTGCCAGCGGAGGAGGCATACCACCGCCGGTCGGTGGAGCCGGGGGTGGTGGTGGTACTACCTCAGCTGCACCCACTTATTACAATCCATTGGGAGTGGCAGCATTTGCTCGACAACCAAGCGCCATGATACCACCAACAGCAACACAAGCAGCTGCCGCAGCAGCATCAGCGGCGGGAACAAATTCGGCACCAGCTGCAGCGCCACCACAATCGCCAGTGGTACGTTCAGCATCGGCCACGTCCACCTCATCATCACAGGCCTCGTTAATTGGCGATGTGGCTCCGCCCTTGGCCCATGCCGCCTCGACTGGCTGTGCAACTGCCCTAATGCATGTGGCTTCCACCGGTGGTATACACGCCGTGGTTGCGGCCCATCACTCGCCACCATCCTCCTCCTCGTCGGGCACTCTCTATGGTCAACCCATAACAGATGCCCAAGTTGCCCAGGCCCATCTCAATAAACAGGGCCACCGTCCTTTGGGTCGTACCCAGTCAGCACCGCTGCCCCTGGGCCATCCCATGCTAACGGGCAGCAGTCAAATAAACATTGCCCAGACTCACTATGAAAACAGTGATGTAAGTATTTCCTCCCTCTCTTAACATAATCGCCACATAACCAATCCCCAACCTCTTCCAGGCCGAACGACAAGCCTACGAACAACACTTGCTACTCACCCAAAAAATCCGGCAAACCGTTCTGACACGCAGCGGTGCCGTACGTGATACTCAACAACTACTCAAAGAGGAAGAAGACGCCGCCGAAGTAATGGATCTCACCGACAAAAAGAAACCTCCAAAAACGGTGCTCACCAGCACCGTGGTAACAAGTACCTCACAAAATCTCCCCAATGCAACTGTGGCGCCGGCCTATGCTGGGCCACCGCCCGCCTGTGTCCCCAACAAACCGATGAAGCTGATGCGTGACAAGGAGTACCTGGAACAGCAGCGTCAGCTGTTGTATATGCAAAATATGAACATGGATGATGCCATCGCCCGCGCCCTAATACGACCGCTGTCGCGCACACTGTCCTCGCCTCTGGTACACTTGGGTCCACATGGCCTCAGTCAAATACCCGACACCGGCCAGGCAACACATGTGCCACATGCCGGACCCATTGTAACATCATCCTCTGCCGATCACATACCACCCGTAAATTTGTCTCTAAATCCCTTGCATGGACGTAATTTAATCGATCTATCGCATAGATATGGCAGTGCCACCGTCACCTCCGCCGCACCCCATGATGTCAATTCTTCGAACAATTTGCCACAGGTTGGTGGTGGTCCACACAAAATCACCACCGGCCTGGCATACGACAACCTGATGCTCAAACATGCCTGCATTTGTGGCAACAACAGCATACACCCGGAGCACAGTGGCCGTTTGCAGAGTGTTTGGGCGCGCCTGAATGAAACCGATTTGGCTAAACGATGTCATCGTTTAAGATCTCCCAAGGCCACATTGGAGGAAATTCAAACGGTACACACGGAGGCTCATTCACTACTCTTCGGTTCGAATCAATGTCAGTTGGCGGCGAATCGGCAGAAATTAGAGACGGCAGCACCATCGGCCAGCTTTGTCCGGCTATCATGTGGTGGTGTCGGTGTTGATCTAGACACCACCTGGAATGAACATCATACAGCGGTGGCAGCACGCATGGCAGCGGGTTGTGTTATCGACCTGGCCATGAAAACCGCAAAGGGTGATTTAAAGAATGGCTTTGCTGTGGTCCGACCGCCCGGTCATCATGCTGAGGCGAATTTGGCAATGGGTTTTTGTTTCTTTAATTCAATAGCGATAGCAGCTAAAATTGTACGGCAGCGTGTTCCAGAGATTAAGAAAATTTTGGTCGTCGATTGGGTGAGTTGGAATCATTATTTGTTAATCAATTTAGGACCTGAAGAACCTTTTTTAATAAATCTTTAATTAAGCCCCGCCTTGTTAAGGCCTTGAAAAAATATTCTTTAATAAATCCAGGCCTTGAAAAAATATTCTTTAATAAATCATTGGCATTATATACCCTAAAAAATTATTTTTTATTGAATCCAGGTTTTTATAGACCTTGAAAATTAATTCCCTACCTCATGGTATTGTTTAATTTATATTTTCAGGATGTCCATCATGGCAACGGCACACAACAGGCCCTTTATTCAAATCCAGATATTTTATATTTGTCAATACATCGCCATGATGATGGTAACTTTTTCCCCGGCACCGGTGGTCCCACAGAGGTATGTACGAAGAAAATTCTTCCCTACATTCTATTAATTATAATTTTGTTTTTATTTCTCAATTACAGTGCGGTACTGGTCCCGGTTTAGGTTATAACGTCAACATTTCCTGGTCCGGCGCATTAAATCCGCCTCTCGGCGATGCCGAATATATTGCTGCATTCCGTACAATTGTGATGCCCATAGCACGATATTTTAATCCTGATTTGGTTTTGGTCTCAGCTGGTTTTGATGCCGCCGCCGGTCACCCCGCCCCCTTGGGTGGTTATTTAGTATCGCCCGCCTGTTTTGGTTATATGACACGCGAACTGATGCAATTAGCCAAGGGTAAAGTTGTTCTGGCCTTGGAGGGTGGTTACGATTTGCCAGCGATATGTGATTCGGCACAAGAATGTGTACGGGCGCTATTGGGCGATCCACTGTCACCGATAGCGGAGAGTGAATTGAAACGTCAGCCATGTCAAAATGCCATTGATACACTGCAGAAGACCATTGCGATACAGGTGGGTTTTAAGTGACATTTTTTTAAATATTTTTAATAAAAATATACTGAATCCTGATACCATATACCTCTTCCCGAAATGTATTTAAAACTTATTTTTAAATTGGTTTGTTTTTTTTTTTCAGTTACAACATTGGCCCTGTGTTAGACGTTATGCCCACACAGTGGGCATGTCTGCCTTGGAAGCTTTAAAAATTGAACATGATGCCTCGGATACGGTAACGGCCATGGCTGGCCTGTCCATGCAAACCTTGAACAAGTAAGTGATCAATTAAAAAATCCACGCTTTTTTGGCATCTGAAAAAATATTTTTTAATGAAGCCAGACCCCGAGAAACCTTGCATAAGTATTCTTCAATAAAATCAGACCCCGAAAGACTTTGAAAAAAATATTTATAATAAACCCCGAGAGACCCTGAAAAATAATCTTTAATAAATACAGACCCTTAGAGAACTCGATAATAAATTCTTCAATAAATCCAGACTTCATAGAAAACTACGCCTTCTGTAGGCCCTTGAAAAAATATTCCTTAATTAATCCACGCCTTCTGTAGGCCCTTGAAAAGATATTCCTTAATTAATCCACGCCTTCTGTAGGCCCTTGAAAAGATATTCCTTAATAAATCCACGCCTTCTGTAGGTCCTTGAAAAAATATTCCTTAATAAATCCAAGCCTTCTGTAGGCCCTTGAAAAAATATTCCTTAATAAATCCACGCCTTCTGTAGGTGAGTAGGTTTGGCTGGGCAATTGAATAAGTGCAGTGTGGTATGAGGGCCTGTACCACATGCTGGGCAGGCATCCTGCACCTGGTCATCAATCCGTGCCCAATACGAATTGAGCCGACTGCACCATCCAGAACGTAACTGGACCAAAACTACTCTGGTTTGTCTGGGCAGCTGACGTTCTTCAGCTGCTATGGGTGGGGCGTGAGCTCCGAGGACGGCATTCACTTTGTAACCGTTCAGCGCTGCGGCTACTGCATCTGTATGAATGCCATTCAGACCTGCTCGATAGGCAACTTGGTCTAGAGGCTCCCTTTTGTATCGTTGGACCTCTGTCTCTAGATCTTGCAGATCCTTCCTGACACGCCTGGGTGGGGGAGTCCTATCCACCATATGATGGTTGGGATGATCGTCCCTGAAACACCCGAGCAGGTACTGCAACGAAAGCATATTGCTATGCTGACGTACGGGAAGGATCTTCGTCTCCTCATGAAGATGGTCCACTGGTGTCATGAGGAGGCACCCTATCACTGTCCTCAGGATGGCATTCTGACAGGTCTGAATATTTATCCATTGCGTATCACTGGAATTCGCAGACCACACTGGAACGGCATAGCTAGCCACAGACCGACCTATCGCTTTGTAAGAGGTCAACAAGGTTTCCTTATCTGCGCCCCAAGTGCTGCCGGCAAGCGACTTGAGAGCCTTGTTCCTACTTTTCAGCTTATCGCAGATAGCTGTGGTTTGCGCGGACGATTTGAACATGCTGTCGAATGTTACCCCGTGTGTGTTGGGGTAGTTGGTGGTCGGAATTGTATACCCCTCGACCTGCACATTCAACGGCATTCTCATCTCCGCAGTCCATGTGGTGAATAGTGTGGCTGACGACTTCGAGGCGGATATTTGCATATTCCTCGCTTTGAAGAATGATACTACATCGATGAGATAGGCGTTCAACCTCACACATATGTCTTCAACAATGGGACCCGATGCCATAATCGTACAATCATCTGCATACGTAACGATTTCTATGCCGTCCGGAGGGCGTGGAATACCGGAAAGGTAGAGGTTAAACAGTTCCGGAGAAATCACTCCACCCTGGGGAACTCCCTGTTTAACTCTACGGGGTTTGGACTTCTTGTTCCGGAACTCCACGTACGACTGACGTCCAAACATATAGTTGATTATCCAACGTTTCAAACTCGGCCGGAGGAAAGTGTTCTCTATGTCCTCAAACAGCGTGGCATGGTTGACAGTATCAAAGGCTTTTGATAGGTCAAGCGCTACCAACACTGTTCTATCGCACGGTTAAGTCCTCTACTTATATGGAAATGTCGTGCAACGCTGTTGTTGTGCTGTGTTGCTTACGGAATCCATGTTGATGGTCCTGGATAGCTTTCTCTAATGCTGGGGAGGAGTAAAGCCTCAAGGTTCTTCGCTACTGGCGACAAAAGTGAAATTGGCCTGTAAGATTTACCTTTGCTTGCATCCTTGCCCGGCTTCAGTAGCGGGACCACCCTGTCCATAGTCCAGGCTTCTGGGACGACGTGGGTGGCTATCGACAAGTTGAGGACGTTGGTCAAGTACTCGACTCCTGGCTCGTCCAGCTGCTTCAGCATACACATAGATATTCCATCAGGGCCCAACGCTTTAGATGACTTACGTGTTACGGATGACACATGCAACATCACCCATCGTAAACTGTGGTGGTACCTCCTCCGCTGGAAGAGATATTATACGACAAAGTACTCTTCTCTTCGCCCTGTCGCTCTCGGGATGCTCGACAAATTGTCGGTTAAAATGACTTGCGCATCTCTTCGGATCAGTCACAGTTTTGTCGTTAAATGTGACTGAGGTCCTATCATCCTTCTTACCAGGGTTCGAGAGCGATTTGACCGTTGCCCACAGTTTACTTACTCCAATGTTGCAACTCTTCAGGTGCTCCAACCATTTATTCCGCTTGTGCTCCGCGATTAATCTGCTGACCTCCAACGTAATTTCCCTGACCCTGGGATCTGCTGGGTTAGATCGACGGAGCTTATCACGCTCGTTTGCCAGACCAACTGCTTCTGCTGGGAAGTTGGGTCTCATCTCGGGTATTCGACCAGCAGGTATAAATCTAGCAGCTGCAGTTGTGATGATGCCTCAGAATTTCCTTTCTGCTACCCGTACATCAGAAGGAATGGAATGTTCTCTGAAGCGCTGGTTGGTGAACTCTCTGAATCCTTGCCAATTGGCTTTCCTATGGTTAAGGAAAGTGCGGCGTTCAGAGATGACGAAATCGGGCGGTCTACTGATGGAGACGATTATGGGGAGATGGTCTGAGCCAAGAGAAATGACGGGCTGCCAGCTGACGTCATTTATCAGACCTTGTGACACAATGGTTATATCTGGCGAACTGTGACACTCTCCCCTTATTCTGGTGGGGGCATCCTCATTTACCTTGCAGAACGTGGAGCTATCAATTTGCTCTGCCAGCACTGTTCCCCTCTGGTCATTACCTAGGACGGAATGCCACAACTCGTGGTGGGCATTGAAGTCCCCTAGCACCGGACAGTTATTGCCCTCCAACAGAAAACTAATGTTGGGCAAGTAACATATATATATATATGTCACCTTGTATTCTGTTTTGATTGATCACAGGGTGTCATCTATATTTCACCACATTTAGTGTGTGTCTACACTAAGTGAATAAAAACATCGCCATCTGTCAGCAAACATCTAAACTATGTGATGTGTATTTTAATGGCTTTGTTGATCGATTTCCCATAACTTCACTACTTATAGATTTTATTTAAAATAAGTAATATCTTAAAATTATTGCATTATTATTAATCAATACATTTTTCTTCTTCATTTCAGAACTCTTTCTTGTGATGATTCCGAAGAACCAATGGATCAAGACGAATCAAAATAGACATATTTTTTTTTATACAACATTCTATTGGAAACAAAAACAAACATTTTGTTGTTAGCAATTTATATTTTTTGGCCGGCAGTTGTATTGTATTTTTGTTCGGAGTAAATACTGCCAAAAAAACAAACATTTCGGTGAGAATTGATTCATCGAAACAAAACAAAAAAAGAAAACGAAAACATTTTGGAAGCCATTGATTGAACATCGTTTAAATCGATGTTTATGGCATTGTTTTGTATTTTGTTGTTGTGATGTGGTGTGTGGAAAGCACACACATACACACAAACATATTTTTCCTACTACTCGAATTTCCCCCCAACACACACACACACAAAATGAAGGAAGGATAGTTAATTAGATGAAATTAGAATCCAATTTTTTTTATAAACGAGGGGGAAAAAGAAGAAGTCTCGATGGATGGAAACACACACGACATCTGAACTCTCCACCCCCATATAAAAAACTAATGCTACTAGTATACTAGTTTATAATAATAGTATAAGAGCACACATTCATTGTTACATTTTTTTATTATTTTTAAATTTTATCTTCTGCTATTTTTATTTTCTGCCTCTGGACGATTGCAGGCATAGAAATGGAAATTTTTTATGCGGCATTTGTGTTTTATTTGTTTCTCACTTCTTTCATGTATTGTTGTAATTATTATATATATTTTTTATATATAGAAAAAAAGATAAAACAAAATATTTATAAAGAAAAAATATTCTCATTATGACTATAACAAAAAATTAACAAAACTTTGTACAAAAATTAAGAAAATTTGCTAAGAGCTGGAAGAAAAAATTCCAATGCAAGCTCGCTCGCCCCACCCGAACCAATTATAAAAATTGTTATGGAAATTTTGTGTTTAGTGTTAAATGAAAACTGAACAGGAGAGATTGAATCTTAACAAAATATTTAAACTTGATTCTTTAAATTTTAATTTCATTTCATAAATTAATTTAGTTAAAAAAAATGAAAAACAAACGAAACAAGCCCTATTCTTAATTTCACGATAAAAGAATAACAAATGAAATGAAAACCATACTATATATTTTTAAAAATAACTATAAATGTATAAAGTTGAATGGAATTTGAAATGAATGTGGCTGTGCCACAATTGACATACATATATACATACTACATAATATATATATTTATATTTAAAAAACAAAAAAGAACGAAACATGTAACTATTATATATTCACCATCATTTATTATCATTTGTTTTTTTATTTTTATTCCGCTAGTTTAATTAAACCCTTTTATTTTTTTAAACGCATTTAAATGAAATTTGAATGCTATAGTTTATCATTATTATTATTATTTTTTGTAATTTTTTTGATATGTATACATACACACATAAATTAACACTATTAATAAATTAATTATTTTTATTTCTTCCCCCCGTCTTCTATATATACATATATATGTATTTAAGTATCATTATTTTAGTTCAATGTCTTTTTTTCTTTTGCAAAAGAAACAAATTGATCACAGTAAAGCAGAGTTTTTCTGAATATAGAAAATTTTACTGTACTATAAATGGAAAAATCTAAAAAAAAAAAAAAAAAAAACAAAATAATATTTCTATGAAAAAAAAAACACGATCAAAAATTAAAATTATTTTTTGTTTTATTTATATGTTTTTTGGTATATAATTTTCTATATTTTGATTTTGTATTATTTTACATGTCATGAGATTTGTACAGGAGTAGTATAATTATGAGAGATCGAAGAGAAACCCCATTAAAATATCGACGCCTCCGAACCATAGTATGCTAAGTCGACTTAGCATGTTTTAAAGTTCTTTACGTTTTTAGATACTACGGTCCTTAATTTAAATTCTCTGAAATTTTGGTAATAATCGGCCAATCCAAACCAAAGTTATAAGCAAAAATGTACTCAGCATGGCACGTACGATTTAAGAAACTTCCATACTTTGAGGGCTTCTGCTGAAAAACTCACTTTTCAGACATAGCATACTATTCTTCGGAGGCGTCGATATGTACATCAAAAAGTTCAGACATAAACCATAACTCGGTATCTTTGCATCATCAATTACAGAGTGATATGTACACTTCACCAAGCAGTGTTATCGACGTTGTCAATTAACGGGTTCTGTCTTTGCTGTCGGTTTACAGGACACATTACGTTTCACCGCATTTTGGGGTGCAACTACACTAATTATGAAAAGCGCCATCACGCAGCAAACATACGAACTATTTAGTTTTTTTTTAATGGTTTTATGTTGTTCTCCCATAACTGCCCTACCTATGCGGGTTATTTTAAATGCTAACATATTTAGCATGCATTTGGAGACTTACGACATTTCGTTCAAAATGAGATGAATACTCAACAATATGAATAAAAACATTGGTTAAAAAATCACGCCTTATATAGCCCTTGAAAAAATATTCTTTAAAAAATGCATGCATTCTTGGTTCTTGAACACATTCTCGCCTGATAGTCCTTGAAGAATATTCTTCACGGCTTCTGTTGGTCCTTTCAAAAATATTCTTTAATAGATTCACGCCTTCTGATGGTATTAAAAAAATAACTTTTTTAATAAATGTTTGTCATTTATTTAATAAACCTGAGCTTTGTTAGTCCTTGAAAAAGCTTTCATTAATAAATCCACGTCTTGGTAGTCCGAGAAAAAACATACACGGCCTCTGTTGATCCTTGAAAAATATTCTTTAAAAATCCAAAAACATCCATGCCTTGGTATGCCTTGAAAAAACATCCACGCCTTGGTATGCCTTGAAAAAACATTCACGCCTAGGTAGTTCTTGAAAAAACATCCATGCCTTGGTAGTCCTAGGTAGTCCTTGAAAAAACATTCACGGCTAGGTAGTTCTTGAAAAAAACATCCATGCCTTGGTAGTCCTTGAAAAAACATCCACGCCTTGGTAGTCCTTGAAAAAACATCCACGGCCTCTGTTGATCATTGAAAAATATTCTTTAAAAATCCACGCCTTGGTAGTCCTTGAAAAACATTCATTAAAAATCCACGCCTTGGAAGTCCTTGAAAAATATTTTTTCCAAGCCTTGATAGTCCTTGAAAAAACATTCATTAAAAATCCACGCCTTGGAAGTCCTTGAAAAAACATCCACGGCCTCTGTAGATCCTTCAAAAAATCCACGCCTTGATAGATCTGGAAAAAAATCTTCAATAAATCCACGCCTTGATAGATCTGGAAAACACATTCTTTAATAAATCCACGGCCCATGTTGATCCTTGAAAAATATTCTTTATAAAATCCTCGCCTTGATAGCCCTGGAACAAAATGCATGCACTATAAAGAATATTCTTTAAGAACTCCTGGTCTTATTGCTCCAAACAAATAAAAAAAATCCCCCATTTATAGTCCGCTACAGGGTAACATCTACATTTCCCCACACACATTTTGGTGTGTATCTGCACTAAGTAAATAAAAAATACCGCCACCTGACAGCAAACAATTAAACTATGGGTGGTATTTCAATGGATTTTTGTTTCGATCTCCCATAACTACACTACTTTTGCGGTTTTTCTAAAAAATATTATGTCATATCGATATTTTGTTGAAAAATAGATGAATGTTTATTTCTTTCTATTTTTTATAGTTATTGTTTAGACTTCCTCCATGTATTGTTCATTGGTACCTCCATGTATTTGCCAGTCCCCTTCTATTTTCTAAAAGAGAAGTGGTTTTATTTCGCTCGTGAATTTAGTTCTGACAATTCGCAAGCTCAACGAGTTCTTATTGTGTCGCCGGTAAACCAAAATATCCACTGGACGTCTGTTCATGTCAGATATTTAAATCTTAGATGGAAAATTCACAAGGGACAAGCAGTCATCCTTCAAATTCTTGTATCCATCATCAGAACAACATATTTGATGAGGTAGAGGCAGGATAATCCATCCCCTTCATACTGGATTTTCTAAAAAAAAGTTACTACTACTTCTCCTGATCGACGAAGACCTGAAGTAAACATATTTTTTCTCTGTGGGACTTCTCAAAAAACTATCACAATTTTGAAAATTTTAAATTAAATAAAAATATTCCACTTCGACCTAAGCAAAACAAAAATACCATATATAAGTCAGGATAAGTGTTTGCTACCTGGGGGGGTCACGGACTTAGGGTATATATCTGTTGGGAATATCGACTTATACTTTTGTATTTCTACGGAAAAAGTTAATTAAACCCTATTTATATTTTTTTTATTATAAAAATCGATGGGACCTCAGTTACTGAGACTCTCCATGGAGGGCACTGGAACTCACATAGACTGAAGAGGAAATAAACGTTGATATCTCAGTTACCCACTATGCCTACCACCATCTACCATAAATGAGTAAGAAAATATTTTGCCTCTGTTAGCCAGGAGGACAATTTCGCTGAACAAAATGTAGTGAGGGCAGATTGTGTCTATAAAAATTTTATTAAGACCTCAATAACCATCGAAAACCCCGTAGTGCTTAAAATAAAAAAAACTATTTTTTATGTCACACTTCCAGTCAGCTCTATAGATGAAAAAAATTGAGGTCTCAGTTGCCGAAGAAAATTGGGAATTTTTTCTTCTGTATAATAAAATACGAAGGCTATTATATCAAAATTTTAGTTGCCAACCGACGACAGAACTAATTTTAAAGCTGATCTTTTTTATTTAAAATCCCCACTTTTGGTATATTAATTCAAGCTTTAATTTGTTTTTAATGATCAGTCACCATATAGACCAAACCAAAGAATCCAATTTTATTACAATTTTTCAAAATTTCAGTCATTCAAGAACTTTTCAAATTTACTCAATTTTCATAGTTATGTAATGCATTATATCAACATTTTTTGATTCTGAGAAAAACTAAACATTTTCAGCTAACCATTGATGAAATTTTCATAAAAATCCCCCCAGTCATTGCTGAGATATTTCAATTTGAAGTTTAGCATCAGCGAAAATATAGCTGTGCTGCGATGCTGTTTGCCTGTTACCCCAGAAAAAACTGAAATGATGGTAATTTGATTTCGTTTC